TCTTTTGGGCATCTTGTACAAGTGTAAGGCTGGGAGTCACTCTCATTCCTCTTTTTTGTTTTATTTTGTTTTACTCTTCCCTCCGCTCTGCGTTCTTTGCCTATTTTGGAGACACGGTGTGATGCTGAAGTACTTCGGGGGCCTTGACATTCTCCTACCTCCTCCTCTGTTGCACACATGCTTCCAACAAAGGCTCCCCAAATGTCGCCCCTACACAAACGTACACTCATTATCAACATGGAGCTTGTAGGTATCTGAACAGTGGAGACATTAATAAGCGAGGGTGATGAAATGAGTATTCACTCACACGTACTCATATAATCACAGAAGTGTGTGCGGTGATCGCGATGGCATCGGACAGTCAGATCAAAGCTTGCAGGCAGGCTGGGAAAGTTTGGAGAGGAAAGCTGTTGTTTGGTGTCTCATTTCACGTAGCCCCAGGGCAGATGGAAGGAGAGCGAGCCCCGGAGAGGAAGAGCAAGCGCGTGTGTGTTTGAGTGTGTAAGAGGAGAGAGATGAAATAAAATAGAGGCAGCGACAGATAATGCCATCAGTCTAACGGAGTGCTCCCTCCCAGAGAGCCTTCTCCCCAGGAGGGGAAAAGGGTAGAGCGGAAGAACAGAGGAGGGAGACTCTCCACTGTTCCAGGTCTTTCTTCTCCTCCCTTTGCATTGCCCTCCTCCTCCTCCCTGTCCTCTGGTATAATACTCCGGCTGTGGTCGCCGAAGCTGGGTGTAATGTGGGTTAAAGCCTTGTCTGCCAGCACTCAGAGGAGTAAACAGAGCCTCATTGTCGGGACACGTTGAAAAAAAAAAGAGAAAGAAAATCCAGCTACTGTTTATGGCCCTGTTATAGAGGGAGAGGGGAAGGAGCTGGAGTAAGTGTGAATCATAGGAATTTGGGGAGGCGCGGGGGCAGAGGAGTGGGAAGGGGGAGAGTGGACAGAAGTGCGAGTGAGTTATAGAAAGGGGTGAGATCATGTTTTTGTTATTATTATCGTGCACTTGTGTCGAGCCATCTATCTGCCTAGATTAGTCGTGCCATGACATCATTGTTTTTGTTTCATTTAAAGACTCTGCCTCAGATTGCCAAACTTCTTACTTTCACACAAACACACACACACACACATATTTCTCTACATGTGCAACCTACAATATCAGTTTTTCCTCAATAAACAACCTTTTTAAAATGTCTTATGGAGATTATGAGGTAAAACAAATAAAATCCCAACACAAAGCACACAAACACACAGTGTTAGCTCGGGCAGCAGCGTGTGAATAACCTTGGTGATGACAGAGAGGAGATGGAAAAGATCAAGAAGGTCCTACCAACCCCATTCACACACACACACACACACACACACACACACACACACACACACACACACACACACACACACACACACACACACACACACGTATGTGACTCACCAGTGTTAATAACTGGAGAGAAGTTTAGCTAACAGACAGACGTATGATAATGCTCTGTGTGATAAAACATGAGCTCATGTCCAGGTGGTTGTCCTGGATCGTGGCTCACTGAGCACCAGTGAAACATGCACACCAAACACAGCTGCTGGGGCCTTCGCTAGACAAAATCAACCTCCAGGATTGGAGTTTATTTATAAAGCACTGAAATGGCTTATAACTCAGTCTAAACAAAAGAGAGAGAAGTGTGATTGCGGCCGTCTTTATTTAAGAGCTGGGAGTTGGTGTGTAAGACCCTAGGGTGCAGGAAGCACTTTTAATTTTGTTAGGCTTTAAATTAAAAGTGGGCAAAAGCATTTTGTGTCCAGCTCAGTCATTCACCTGATCTGGCAGTGTTGTGTTAGCTTTAGCTCAGCATAAACAGTTAAAGTGAACGGTAACAGCTAGCATGTTGTGTGAAAAAGTCATGAAAATAACTCAATAGTGATTTTTCTTTTTCTTGGTGAGCTCAGTAATCATATTGACTGCAAATGCAAAGGTAACACTTTACAATAAAGGTCCCTTCATTAACATTACTTAGTGCATTATTAAACATTAATAAACAAAAGGTTCCTCTGTTAACGTTCCCAATATTGTTTACCACGTGTCCTTAAGGTTAGGACGGGGGGGGGGGGGGGGGGGGGGATTCTGCTTAGGAATGCATTACATAATATGGTTGCTTTTAATGCCCCCAGGTGTCCATTAGTGAAACCAAAGGTGAAACTCTGCTCCTTGCTGTGTGTTCATCTTTTTAACACCTTAAACTAACAGTTGAAATGTCTCCTCAGCCTTTCTTAGTGTCTACAGGAGTGATTCATCACTAAATTAAACAAATCAGCTGTGTTCAGGATCTAAAACATGCAGGAAACGTGCTGCAAAGTTGCAAGTGTGATATTCTGGCCACAGAGGGAGGTGGGGGGTTGAGTGGCCTTTCATTAAGCCTGTAGGGTCGTTTTAGCACAAACTGGCTCAAGAAAGTGATTTCAAACTATGAAAAAGTTGCAAAGTATCCTTTTAAGCAGTTGTTAATACTTTACTTAATAGATTGTTGGTGCTTATTAATGCACTAAGTGACATTAATGAAGGAACTCTTATTGTAAAGTGTTACAGTGGACTTACTGAGTGACATGAATGTGTTACAGTGCTGAATTAGACTTAGATGGGGAATATGGCGACAGAATAAATTTCACCTAGGGGTGGAATATCTCTTTAACCCTCTGCTGTTTTCTTGTTTGCATGTTTTCTGAAATGCTTAATCGGTTTTCTTTGTATGCCTTCTACTCCGTAATGGTGTGTAGACAGGATTGTCAGCCCCGCGTGAGCGGAGCGTGGCAGCAGCGGCTACTGGGATGTTTCAACTTTTCAACCATGAAAGTCGACTTCGTCGTCCATCGTCTTTGATGTCGATTGGATTCTCTAACTGGATGTTTGATTCTAACTTTCTGTCTTTAGGCACTTGAACAATGAACACGCCCTCGATGACCGCAGCACTGCTCAGTGCAGAGTCCAGATGCAGGTGGTGCAGCAGCTGGAGATACAGGTGGGTCATACACACACACACACACACACACACACACACACACACACACACACACACACACACACACACACACACACACACACAGCTCATTTTCAGAAGCTCACAAACAACGTTACTGACTGTTTCAGCGTGTCAGGGGCAGAAACTGTCTTCAGCAGGGCAGAATTTATGGAGAGCAGTAGAGCTTGTAATTTAAAAGGAGCAGTCAGCAGGGAAGCTGCCATCGCTGCTCCAATTATAAAGCTGCTCCGGTCACTAGTAAGAGAGAGAGTAGGGCTGAAATGGAGGGGAGGAGGAGGAGAGAGTGTGGAGGAGCAGCTTCTTGCTCTCGCACTCTTCAGAACATCTGAATGATTGACTGGAAACTTTTCCTTCAGCATTTTGTTTAAAAAAGTTGGAGAAAAAGTGAAACGAGTGTCTTCATTTTTTTTTCAGTTCAGTACCCGCGCCCGTGTGTGTGTGTGTGTGTCCGTCCAGAGGTAGGGTCAGCGTTTGTGTTTGCAGCGGTGGTAAACATCGTTTAGCTGAGCCCCTGAAGCCGCCAGCAGGCAACACAAAGTGACAGAGAGGCAGCTGGTGTCACATCACATCAGGACGGTTGTCTCTCGCTCTCTCTCTCCTTGACATGTCACTTCATCCCTCAGTGGTGCACAGGAAACCCACAGCTCTGTCCTCAAAAACACAACAACAACATCAACAGCACACACACACACACACACACACACACACACACACACACAGGACGCAGCATCACCACAGGCTGTGGCCATTAAACAGCATCTAACAAAGTCAAACGGGGGCGAGTGTCTTCAGGCGAGTGGAAGTGTGTGAGCGAGAGCTGCGGGTGCCGTGTTCCTCTCTCTCTCTCTTTGCCTGAGGTGTAATTGTATTTGTAATTCTGTGTCAACACGGCGTTAAATCAGTCTAAGTGGAATGAAATGAGATGACATACATTTGAAGGCTTCACCCTCATGTGTGTGTGTGTGTGTGTGTGTGTGCGTATGTTTTTCTACAGTTGGCAAAGGAAAGCGAGCGACTTCAGGCCATGATGACCCACCTGCACATGCGTCCTTCAGAGCCAAAACCGTTTAGCCAACCTGTGAGTACACACCAGCACCTCCAGGATGCACACACTAGATGTAGTTTTCTCTTTATTCTCTTTCTCTCTAGCTTGGTGTTCATGCCCCCTATTGTTCAAAGAGGGTTAATGTAGACCCAAAACTCTGTTTTTGTTACTTTTCTCATTTTTCATTCCTGGTCTTATCCATCCATATGTTCAGAACTGTTCCTTTACCAGACAGTGATGCTTTCTCGTTGCCCTGAATTTACTCACTGAAGAGTTGCACGCGTTCAGACGGTGTGCACGCTGAATTTTCACAGAATTCTAACAAATACAGAAGATGTTTGGTGTGTGTGTGTGTGTGTGTTTGTGTGTGTGTGTGTGCGTGCGTGCATGCGTGCGTGTGTGTGTGTGTGTGTTTGTGCGTGCGTGCGTGCGTGTGTGTGTCCACAGCAGTTGGTGGGGTTGTTATTAGGAATCTAATGAATATTTCATTATTCAGATTGACGAGGAGTCTTATTAAAATATGAAGATGTTGAAATTAATTGTCAATTTGAGGTAGAGTGTCTTAATTTGAGAATATAAACGAGTGCAGCTGAGTAGTGACGTGTGTGTGCATGCGTGAGTGTGTGTGTGTGTGTGCGCGCGCGTTTGTGGATGATGTGTTGATCACGAGGGGATCAGCTGCCATTATCATCTAATGGGAAATCAGGAAGAGGCGTGTTCTGTCACCACTGGAGACGAGCCTCCGGGTCAGGGATTGGAGGAGGAGGGGCAGAGGAGGAGCATCAGGAATGGAAACAACGCTTGGCCTCAATTAACGGTGTTGGACTGTTGCCGTGGTGATGAGGCAGGGTTGCAGTTTTAATGAAGTACCTGTTAAACAGCACCGCCCCCCTCCAAGTCAACTTAAATGGTACAGAGAAGGGTCAAAGTGAAGAGGAGGTGATTCACACATTTTACATAAATCTAGACAACACACACACACGCATGCATGCACACACAAACACACACACACACATACACACACACACACACACACACACACACACAAACACATGCACACACACTTAGTGGTTTTAATTAGTTTGAAACTTGTAGCCTTTTAACCAGAGTTGCTACACGACTGGGAGTACTGGTCCTGTGTGTGTGTGTGTGTGTGTGTGTGTGTGTGTGTGTGTGTGTGTGTGTGTGTGTGTGTGTGTGTGTGTGTGTGTGTGTGTGTGTGTGTGTGTGTGTGTGTGTGTGTGTACATTCACAAGGCTCTGCCTAATTGGGCCGAATTGGTCCGTGAAGACTTTGCCACCGCAGAGTGCGTGTGTGTGTTCCCTTCGTACAAACACGCTGTCGTGTGGTTTTGTTTTTGTAAGCTCAGGGTTAATTGCAGCCAGCGTTGTGCGTATAAATATGTTGAGAGTGTGGAGCCGGGTGCACATGATAGGGCCGTATAGTCACAGGAAGTCCTCAAGGCCTCACATTTTTATCTAAATAGTGCCTCCTGATTAAAGCTCCACCAAGTAAATCCTTGTCACCATTTGGAACAGTTTTGTGTGTCTGTACGTGTGTGTGTGTGTCAGTCTAGTTAATTTTACTTCAACCTGTGGAAATACATCAGTGGTCGTAAGTAAATGCATTTTCTGAAAACCTTCGACTTGTTAAAAACATTTTTTTTTCAGGCAAAAACTTAAACATTTGTAATATCTGTGTGTTTTGCAGCTGAACCTGGCTTCCAGTGGCTCCTTGTTAAAGAGGGACCCTGATGCCTACCCAGAGGGCCTTCCCCATCCCCCCACCTCAGCTGCAACCCCAATCACCCCGTTGCGCCAGGGACCCTCTGTCATCAGCTCTTCCAACCTTCACACACACTCCCACTCCCACACACACCCTGTCGGGCCCATACGCCGGCGCAACTCCGACAAGTACTGCACCCCTATTGCCTCAGGTAAACTCTCTCGCTCTCTCACACACACACACATACACACATTTTAATCATTCATGATGTGTGTAATCTGCTCCAATGTGGTTTGAATGGCTACAAAAGTAAAAATAAGTTCTCGTGATTTTAATCTGAAACGCTTTTAAATATTTCCTCAGAGCTCGCTCAGAACTGTGAGTTCTACAAGAACGCTGATGTCAGGCCTCCCTTTACCTACGCCTCTCTTATACGACATGTAAGTCAGACCCTCCTCATGAGCTCTCTCCTCCTGGAGCGTCCTCTGATGTTCAGCCCGTCTCCTGCTTTGTTCTCAGGCCATTCTGGAGTCTCCAGACAGACAGTTGACTCTCAATGAGATCTACAACTGGTTTACACGGAAATTTGCATATTTCAGGAGAAATACTGCCACGTGGAAGGTAAGGGAATAGCCCATCGATCCTTTTTATTAAATTCTGGGTCAAATTCCTGATTTCCTTCTGTAGATTCTGAAAAAAACATGGTGCGTTTTAGAAACTTCAGAGAACTTTTTTAAATGATGGAGGGAAATTAAATGGTAAAATGGCAAATGGCCTGTATTTGATATAGCGCCTTCTAGAGTCCTGGAACCCCCCCAAGGCGCTTTACAACACAATCACTCATTCACCCATTCACACACACATTCACACAATGGTGGGGATGAGCTACGATGTAGCCACAGCTGCCTTGGGGCGCACTGACAGAGGGGAGGCTGCCGAGCACTGGCGCCACCGGTCCCTCCGACCACCACCAGCAGGCAATGTGGGTTAAGTGTCTTGCCCAAGGACACAACGACAGCGACAGACTGAGCGGGGCTCGAACCTGCAACCTTCCGATTGCAAGGCGAGCACTTAACTCCTGTGCCACCGTCGCCCCTATATTTAGCAGAGCTGCAAGGCCAGGATGGACCCAAAATTGGTTGACTCACACTGAACTGATGCATCCGACACTTTTGTAAGACGTTTTATTTGGATCATGTGTAGCGAATGACTTAGTCGAAATGCAAAAGTCGTGCCAATTTTCCTGTTGCAGGTTGACACGGAGTGTCTTAATTCTGTCACCATTTTGGACTCATAGAAACTAAACTTAGAGAAACTCTATTCAGGTTCTGAAAACGAGCAATAATAATAATAATAACACAGAAACTTTGTTACATTTTTAAGTTTCCAGTGACATGTCATCGAGGCCCGACGACTTAAGCCTAATTAATACTTCTCCGTTTGCGTCGTCGTCATCCGCCATTGAGGCTTCTCCAACAGGCACGCGAGGACGGACGGAGTCTAGTCCAGTTTTCTGAACCTCCGTCAAACAAGAAGCAAAGTCAACAGCACCGCCATGGCGCTCTCGAAGAAATGAATTAAAAGAGAGCAGAAAATATCTAGAAGCAGACACGGAGCAATGTTTAATCACCCGTGACTGAAGAAACAGAGATGAACAGTAAACGCTTTATCCATGAATGGAAATGACATAAGCATGGGTTTAG